TGTATTTACTGTATTTACCCTTTTCAGTCAGCGATAAGCCCCAGCAATCGCACCGCTGCAAAACTCGCAAGCTGTTCACCGTGCAGGGTATTGCATTATAACCACCCACCGGCTCTTTCAGCGTAAGTGTAATCGCTTAATAGGTAGGACGCAAAAAGCATGTGAGAAATGATAGGTAGGTGAAACAGAATACGAATTGGAATTAACCATAACTCAAATTGCAAACAATTCAATGAAAACAAATTAAAACAAACTGAGACCAAGGGAAATTTGGAAAGTCTTTGGTCGGCTTAAGACGTCTGATATAAACGTCGGAAAGGAACAATTTCTTTGCGGTATTTAGGCAAGTAAATACCAAGTATTTGAAAGATTCTGATCGGCGCCGATTGAAATAATTCGCCGTGCATATCTCGGCTTATTGGCGACCGATTGACACGGGACAAACACCGATCGATACCAAATGGCTCTGTGGCGAGGGGGGGATAGAGTGGCAAGTTTTCCTACCCGACGAACCCGGAATTATCCCGAGGGGGTAGGGATGGGAGTAGAGTCGGGGAACGGGGGGGGGGGGGGCAAGTAGAGTGGCAAGCTTTCCTACCCGACAAGTACCAAGCAAGTACCAAGTACTTTTACAAGTACCAAGCAAGTACCAAGTACTTATGCAAATACCAAGCAAGTACCAAGTACTTTGGCAAATACCGAGTACTTATGCAAATACCAAGCAAGTACCAAGTACTTTGGCAAGTACCGAGTACTTTGGCAAGTACCGAGTACTTTGGCAAGTACCGAGTACTTTGGCAAGTACCAAGCAAGTACCAAGTACTTTTGCAAGTTCAGCAAGTTTTTCGCCAATATCGAAGCTTCTAGACGTCCGAACGTCACCGGAAAAACACCATTCGATCCCAAATTTTCTCCCGAATCTTTTTATGGCCAAAGCGACGCGGAGCGAGCCAAGATATCTTGTCAAAAACCATTTGAGTCAGGGTCATGAAATCTTTAGAACATGTGTAAAATTGATAAACTCGAGAGGCACTGAAAGTTTCGTCGTGATCGGCCGCTTTTTGCGCGAGTTATGTGCAAAAAGCCGAGGTGGTCCGTTCGCCCGCCTATAAGTGCGAGGGTTAATTTTGGCTTTTGATGCCAAATTCTGTTTTATGTCGCTTACTTCACCTGATAGAATACAGTCCGAATTAGATTCGCTTCATTTCACTTCATAAATATTTTGTTGACTACCTGTCCACAAAAACTCAGAAGCATATGTATTCTTTCATTTCAATCCATTATTTCTGTCAGAGGCATATCAACCTTGACCCGCAACTGACAATGTGTTTTAATTACAAGAAAATACACTTGTAATTCCAAAATATATTGCCAGTTTTGATACCGTTGGCTTGAGGACACGTGACTAGCCAAGTTCAGAATGTTCTAAGTAAAACTAAGTATCATAAAGCGAAAAAATGATGCTGCTAAAATCAAGCCATTTTGATAGCGCTGTGTTGGACATGATTGCGTTTTCATGAATGTGAGGTCTGCTGCCAAACTTCTACCATTTTTCTGATGGTTTCTTTCAGGATGTGTTCTCTAATCCTTTTTTTAAACACTGGCATTTTATCAACTCACCTCTGAGCTTCTTTAGCCGAGAAATTTTGAAAAATCCAAAACCATATCAACTCACCCCCTGGGGGGTGGTGAGTTGATATGAACTTTGGCGTTTTAAAAAAGGGGCTTAATATATACATTTTTTATTCATTTTTGCTGTTTGCCTCCCCAAGGCATGTGCCATGAAACTGGCACAAAAAGAATTCCGTAAATGAATGTGGCTTTTAAAGAAATCTAGAATAACCTCAAAATCCATATCAACTCACCCCGGTTTACGGTACCTAAATGTACAACAGAAATGGGCTGCTGTGTTCATGCATTAACCCGCGCCCTGCCGGGGGGGGGGTGTTAAACACCCCCTGCAGTTAACCGTGAATATCTCAAAAACGGCGGCGCGGCACACTTTATCCTACATCATTTCTACATATGTTGTGAAAATTTCAGACCCTGGTCACTTAAAGTCAGGTCACCAGGTCAGGTCAAATGACCTCACTACATAAAAAGTTTCAATGTCTGCCAAAGCATACACGGAGTGACCAAACGCTATGAAACTTTCAGAGATGCAAATGCACAAGAGCGACAAAATACAAAAAAAATGTATGTCTTGGAATTTTGATATCGATGACATAAGGTCAGGTCAATTTTGCGACCTTAAATTGAAAGTCGCCTTTTTAGACGGAAGTCATTATAAACACTCCTGACTTTTTCGCGAATAACTTTTGATAGAGGCATGCTAGAGCGATGAATACACCTTATAGGTAGTTGTGTTTGGCTCGACGATACGGATGGACTAATATGGAACTTAGCCCTTATCGGTCAGGTCATGACCTCGACCTGAGGCCAAATTTTCAAGTTGACCATTCAAGGTCAATTGATAGTTCATTCCACACGTCTTGACGAGAGGAACACGATGCTGGTGGTAAAGGGAAGTTCGTGCAAATTTTGAGACGAAAGTTATTGCCGAAAACTGGTTTCCGAAAATATCGGCTATTTTGGCAGTTTTTGCGGTCACTGCAGGTAAAACCGTTGACGGCAAAACCGTTCACGGCACCCGGCATGATTTCTCTGAGCGCATTCATAGGTACATACAAATAATCTGTCTACATAGGATAGGGCCTTCTGTTTACAGAGGACCTCCTCCCCTGTCCCTTCCTACAGTGGGCGGCGACGCGGTTGGGAGTCTATTCTGTACAGTTTCCTGAGTTCTCAGTTCTCACTATAGTGAGAACTGAAAACTATCTATATAGAGTAGCAGGGAACAGAAGCCAGAAGGTAATTTGCTTACAGTGGGCCTCCACTCTATGTACTTAATATACGACGCTGTCTTTGACTACCGGGGGCCTCCTGCCCACAGAGGGCCTCTTATCTACAGAGGGCTTCCTCTCTACAGATTGCCAGTTAGCTACAGAGGGCCTCCTCTCTGCTGAGGGTGTCTTTCTCTCCAGAGGGCCTCCTTTACAGAGGGCATCCTCTCTACAGAGGGCCTCCTCTCTAGTCTCTACAGGGACCTCCTCTCTACAGAGGGCTTCCTATCTATGTAGGGCCTCCTCTCTTCAGAGTCTCGTCTCTACACAGGACCTCCTCTATACAGAGGATCTCATCTCTGCAAAGGGCCTCCTCTCTTCAGAGGGCCTTCACTTTACAGAGGGCCTCCTACCTACAGAGGACCTCCTTTCTACTGAGGGAGTCCTCTGCAGAGGGCCTTCTCTCTTCAGACGATCTCCTCTCTACAGAGGGCCTCCTCTCTTTAAAGGGCCTTCTGATTTCAGACGGTTTCCTCTTTACAGAGGGCCTGCTCTCTACAGAGGGTCTCCTTTTTACAGAGGGCCTCGTTTTTACAGAGGTCCTCCTTTTTGCACAGGGCCTCCTCTCTACAGGGGGTCTCCTCTCTAAGGGGGCCTCCTCTCTACACAGGGCCTCCTACCCACAGAGGGCCTCCTCTCTACTGAGGAGTCAGAGGGGCCCTAGCGGTCAGACACAGACACTAGTGGTTATTCACAGGAGATGAGAAGGGCCCTAGCTGTCACTTGTCAGGCTGGTCAGAGGGCCCTGATTGTTCTGACGTTTGTTTTTAGATTCCCGCGTGAATTTCGTTCGCCTCCGACGTGATTTTGGCCAACGTGGGCCTTCGGCCCACGTTGGATTCAGGCCGAAAGGATTCAGGCCAACGTGGGCCGAAGGCCCACGTTGGAACGTTATACCACAGGTTCTCTAGTAGACCCTTAGCTCTTCGACAGCCCCTGCCGGGCTTTTGCATTCCCCATGTCCCTTCCTTCGACTTTTACACAGTACTTTCGACTTTTACATTTCCATCTCGAGCACCGAGAGCCGAGCGGAGAGCACGCTCGGAGCGGTCGGAACGGCGGCGGTTCTCTGGATGCCCGTCACGCATTGCTGATGTGTTATCGGCCGCTACAGAGCGGGAGAGGGGAGCTATGTTGCAATGGTGCGGTACTGCAGTACGGCCGCCCGCCTGTCAGTTACTGGTGCATGTTTGTTGTGCGTTGCAGACCGCCCCTCCCTTTGAATGTGTTTTGCTCTCGTATGCTGGTACAATATTGAAACGAGCGGGAAACGGCTCTTGCTAGTTGCTTGGGTATGGAAATTGGAACGTGATGTTTGCAATTTTTCCTTCTCCATATTACCGTATCTGACAGTCAAACTGGTGATTTATAGAGGCAATATGTTTTTATTCGAAGCAGCATATCAAAATTGATGACCCGTTTGTTTTTCGGCCGATTTTGGGCTATCCCGGGTCACCTTTCTCCACGATAACTGCTGTTGACTGTTGAGTATGTTCATTTGCATGTTTGCTTTGAACGAAGTGAATCAGATTATGAGTGTGACGACCGATGACCGAGTTTCGTTCCGCCGATTCATTCACAGTCATCAGGGCTGATTGTGCTGGATACGTCACTCGTTCTGGAATGTTCCGCTGCCACCGGCCCACCCCCACTCTGTTGTCGCAGATGTGGCTCAGCGGAGGCGTGGGCGACGCGGTACTGTGGGCGGAACGCTTCCTTTTTCCAGGAGTGACAAGATGACGTGATGAGAGCAGAGCTGCTGGTTTTCCATCTCCCGGCGGACTGGCCGAGTCGCTAAACCGGACGGTCTGACAGGTTCAGACCATAGCTACTGAGCCAGACTCGAGCCTCGAGGGTTGGACTTTGCAATGCACATGACTCCGAAACCTTCCCAAGCTCTCGTGGATTGTTCATTCTTCCATTTCACACAATCCCTATAAAGTCACGCCGTTCACTGTGGCGCGGTGATTTTCACTGGTGCGGCATCTCCAGCCTAGAATACGGATGACGTCTCCTCTGGGTCGGCGGTGAGTCAGTCGACGCGGCTAATTTTGGCCCGCGGCGCCGGCCGCCGGCTGGCGTCGCGCCGCCGTCGACTCCAGGGAGCTGGCTCAGTCTTGGCCTGCCCCGCGGCGGTGAGGAAGTCGGCTGAGAGCGGTGCTTCCAGTTGCGACGCGACAAAGGAGAGGAAAGAGGTAGTGGGCAGTGGGTGACCGCATTTTGAGCGAGGGAGGCAGTCGTAGGGTTAGTGGAAGAAACAGGTGGGTGAGGAGTGGTGATGTCTGCCGGGTCTGACTTGCTTTGTTTATTGCGTATACGAGCTGCCTGGGTGACTGGTAAGAGGTGAATTTTGGAAAGAAAGCGCCTTTGATGTGTCGATATTTGCCTGCATCAGATATTGGTTCATGACTTATGACTTCATTAAAGTGTCTTGCAACTTGAAAGTGCATCCGGTTAGACTTGATTGTTTTGATGTGAGTGCATTTGATGGTGAGTGTTCTTATGCACTTACTTCCAATGCATTTCTGATGTTTTGTTCTATTTCACCTAAAGGGTCCTGAACAAATCGGTTCACCGTTACACCGATGCGGTTCCCGTCGGACCGGTTCTTAAGCGTTTGACCGGTGATCTGGGTCATTGATTTGATAAGATCAGTCTAGACAAAGTGGCCATGAAGCGTCGTGGACGCGCTTCATCATGGTCCGCGATGATTCGACAGTTTCGCTTGCCTGCCGACGAGAGATCTGGGATCTTGGGATCTTAGTCAATGGAAATGTGGCGCTGAGCTACCACCGTCTTGGGATTCGTGACACTCGAGATCCAGTCGTGCTGCTGCGTGTGCTGACGTCGCTCAAGCTCATGACGGTTTCCGTTCGTTGTTGTGGCTTGTAAAAGCCAAATTCTTATTTTCCTTTCTTATTTTATACTCGTATAGTTGCGTCTTTTGAACGCATGCCATGAACTCGCAAAGGACAAAGCGAAAGCTTCACCCACTAACGACTGAAGCATGCCACCTACTTTAAGGGTCGGATTCGCTTGGATTGAGGTCATAAATACAGCAAACAACAGCTTCCCCATCATACATGCATCGACCCCATCAACAAGATGACCATGCATTCAGTACCACCCCATTCACCACATATGTTCTCTTGCGCTTGCACCGTGTTGCGATGCATCTTCTGTCTGACCCGGCCCCGGCGACCCGTCCTCGGCCTCGAATGACCCGACCGCCACTGAGTGAACGGTGCGCCCGGCCGGGCCAGTTTTTACTGTCTGCCCTCCCCGACCGGTGCCTCGGCCCGGTCGGTCGCCGGGCGTCTCGTCGCTTGTCCCCGACGAGCCACGGTCGCGGCTGGAGGGGTGGTTGTGTGTCCCGGCCGGGGAACGAGTGAGTGTGAGAGGAGGTGAGAAGTCTGACACAGTGCTCAGACAGTACGCGGAGAGGTGGGCTGGTGCCTCAAAGTGGATATTTGCCAGTGGCGGTTGTTTTGACAGGTGCCTGTACAGCTCGACAGGTGGGTGTTTCGCCAAGAGTTTGCGGTACGACTATGAAAATTGATTGCCTGCTCTTCTCTTCTGTAGTTCTTACTCTTCAGTAACTTCCAGGGAACATGGTAATTAGTGCCAAGATAAGATTAGAGTGTGTTATTTTGGCTTCCAGCTCAGGAATCATCGTGGAGCTGGAAGGTTACGTTTTCCAGTTGATTTGGCACCGAACATCAAACAGCAGTCAGGTTTCGAGTGCCAATCGCATTCGTTTCGTTTGAGTACCTGTCTCACACAGTCGTGCTACATGTCTTGGAGCCACCCAGCAAGATCTTCAAGGATCCTGTACCTTTTCGAAACGCCTCCTGGACAACCCCAGGCTATCTTTAGGCGTCGGTGGTTTGCGCTTGGGTTTGATTGCCTTTCCATGTTTATTTGCCCTAGTTTTGGTAGCCCCTGGGATACATGTCGACGGTTTTGTTTGGCTGAGCGCACATGCCGACAACAGCAACAGTCGATTAGCCGTCGGCATCCCCAGTGATAGTGTCCGTCCAAAGCTGTGTGTCCGCTTTCTGCAATTTTTCAAATTATTTATGTACATTTTATTAGCTTTTCAATGCTTCGTTGTGAAGAGTTTCGTTGTGTTGTGTGAGGCAGCTCCGTTTTTAGGCTACGAAGCCTCGTTATCGACTCTCAGATCCCGGTGATTTTTCATTGTGAACTAGCGTCGTCACTGACAGTTCCAAACGGGTGATCATTGGAGCTTTATAACTCCTGCGTCGTGACCTCGAGGTGCGCCAGGCGGCCCGTCGCAGCCGACGCGCCGTCTCGAGGCCGTCGTCGTGAGCGACGCGTCTTTGGCCGGCTGCAGTGTGTAGCCCATCATCTCTCGTCGAGGAGAGCCCGGAGGCGGCGGGGTCGTCGGAGGCGACGGATGGTGTAGACTGAGACGGCGGCGGCGTGGCGCTGCCCCGCAGTGTTTACTTTGGAAGTTGGCAACTGGAGAGCTCCTCAAGGCGCGGCTTCCATGTGATCCTCTCTGTCTGCCCTGCTTGTCTGTCTGTCTGTCTGTGTGTCAGTTCAGTTCAGTCTCTCTCTCTCTCTCTCTCTCTCTCTCTCTCTCTCTCTCTCTCTCTCTCTCTCTCTCTCTCTCTCTCTCTCTCTCTCTCTCTCTCTCTCTCTCTCTTTCTCTCTCTCTCTCTCTCTCTCTCTCTCTCTCTCTCTCTCTCTCTCTCTCTCTCTCTCTCTCTCTCTCTCTCTCTCTCTCTCTCTCTCTCTCTCTCTCTCTCTCTCTCTCTCTCTCTCTCTCTCTCTCTCTCTCTCTCTCCATCCCGTCCCACTGACAGTCACATCATCTCCGGGCTTCAGGAAGCGGCCGGCTCTGGTCCAGATAGGGCTTCCCAGTTCCCATTGTGTCATCGCTACTGGTTCCGGTTATGCATACACGGTCAGTTCCGGTAGGCGGCTTCAGACCACTGGATGGCAGAGTCGTGGGCGGCAGAGTTAAATCGGCGGTACCGTGGGAGAGCTGTGGTTTGGCGTTGTGGTTCATTTTGGATGTAGATGCGGCCAGGCAGGCCACTGAGCCGATGAAATTTCGGACACGGCTATTCGAAGGCTAGACCCGTAGATAATTCGCTGTTTTTTTTTTTAAATTTAGTCTGGGAGGGAATGAGGCCTAGAAATCAGGCACCTACTTTGTTGAGGGTGTATGTCTTATTGGAGGCACACAGTGTTTTGTGGAGAACAGTCGAATGTATTTGTTAATATGTTCAGATTCGGTCATTGCCTATATCTATACCTATATTTGATATGAAACTATTAGCCCTTGTGCATTGCGAAAATGAAATTAGATCTTGAATAACCCATAGCATACGTGATGAGGCGTTTCTAGGAATAAACCCATTCGCACAGATTTATGACTGTTGCTGCGGCGGCTGCGGCTTTACCAGCAATTTCTGTGTCAGGCCTGGTCGACCTGTAACCGAAACACGGCCTGACTCACACGAATCACATCCAGCCGACACACTCACTCTGGAGCTCTCCTCACAAACACTGGTGACTGTTTGCCTTATAAGGTCCGTCGTCTGAAAATCATGGCCACATGACCATGGGCGCCGCCACCGGGGGGGACGGGGGGGACGCGTCCCCCCCACTCTCAGAATGGAAGGGGGACGTCCCCCCCCCCAAACTCATTACGGAGCGAGCGAAGCGAGCGTAGTCTTCGTAGGTTAACGGAAATTTCTGAGTATGCCGTGGTCACGCTTTTGCTAGGCTTATATCTCAGCAACCACTTGACCGATTTACATGCGGTAATTTTTGTGGGGTAGCAGTGGCGGTCGCAGGGGGGGGGCCATCAGGGCCATGGCCCCCCCCAAAGGCAAATCAGGGGGGCCATCATATCATTTGGCCCCCCCCAAACAACCGATGGGCCCCCATGGCCGTATGGGGCCCTGGCCCGTATTCGATTGTCACGAGGCTCGAGAAACCCACGCCAGCTATTAACAGCTCCCATACCAGTCTTTGAGGGTCCTACACTGACGTCGGAGGGCCCTTCAGTGGCGGTCAAGCGTCCACATTGACCGCTGAGGACCCAAATTGACCTCTGAGGGCCCTCCACTGGCCTTTGAGGGCCCCTAAACCGGTCTCAGGGGCCCAACCGGCGTCTGAGAGCCTCATTCCGGCCTCTGATGGCCTCATTTCTGTCTCTCGAGTCCCAAGACCAGCCTTTAAGTGTCTCTGAGGGCCCCGCACTGGATTCTGAAGACCCGATGTTGGTCTCTAAGAGCCCGCATCGGCCTCTGGGGGCCCATCTTGGCCTTTGAGGGCCCTCCGCTGGTCTCTGGGGTCCAATGCCGGCCCTTGCCGGCCTTTTAGGGCCCAAAACTGACCTCTAAGGGCCCATGCTGGCCTGTAAGGACCCACATTAGCCTCTGAGGCCCCCCGCACTGGATTCTGAAGACCCAATGCCGGCCGCTCAGGGCCCGCATCGGCGTCTGAGGGCCCACCTTGGCCTTTGAGGGCCCTCCGCTGGCCTCTGGGGTCCAACGCCGGCCCATGCCAGTCTTTTAGGGCCCCACACTGACCTCTGAGGGCCCCATGCTGGCCTGTAAGGACACACATTAGCCTCTATGGGCCCCGCACTGAATTCTGAAGACCCGATGCCGGCCTCTAAGGGCCCGCATCGGCCTCTGAGGGCCCATCTTGACTTTTGAGGGCCCTCTACTGGCCTCTGGGGTATAACGCCGGCAAATGCCAGTCTTTTAGGGTCCCATTCTGACCTTTGAGGGCCCCATGCTGGCCTGTAAGGGCCCACATTAGCCTCTGAGGGCCCCCGCACTGGATTCTGAAGACCCGATGCCGGCCTCTAAGGGTCAGCATCGGCTTCTGAGGACCCATCTTGGCCTTTGAGGGCCTTCTGTTGGCCTCTGGGGTCCAACGCCGGCCCATGCCGGTCTTTTAGGGCCCCACACTGACCTCTGACAGCTCGTGCTGGCCTGTAAGTACCCACCTTAGCCTTTGAGGACCCCGCACGAGCCTCTAAAGACCCGATGCCGGTCTGTAAGGGCCCGCATCGGCCTCTGAGGGCCCATCTTGGCCTTTAAGGGCCCTCTACTGGCCTCTGGGGTCCAACGCCGGCCCATGTCGGTCTTTTAGGGCACCACGCTAACCTCTGAGGGCTCCATGCTGGCCTGTAAGGACCCACATT